CTCTCTCTCTCTCTCTCTCTCTCTCTCTCTCTCTCTCTCTCTCTCTCTCTCTCTCTCTCTCTCTCTCTCTCTCTCTCTCTCTCTCTCTCTCTCTCTCTGTAATAAACGGCAGAAACGTGAGAATCGTCTGATAAAAGGGCGGAGAGTTGCTTTCGATGTAAACGAAAGGCGAGTCCTTTAAGAGAGAGAGAAAAAAAAAGAGAAACGGAGAGGGGAGGGAAGGAAAGGAAAAGTTTCGACGGGCTTCTTGGAAACTTTGATAACTACGCTCGACTTTATGCGAATAATTCGAAATGGATGGGGAGAGAGATGGCGTTTCGTTCTCCTTCTCGTTCTCCCAGTGGTCGAGGAACGTGATGGATCGGACAAGTAGTCGGATCTCTGTGCTGTGGTATAACTAACGAGTTGGTCGTTTTATTGTTTTTTTGATTATTTCGAATTCGTCGAGTGAGGGTCCTTTCGAGTTCCGTTAATTTGGCGTGCTTATGGCTTTTTTTTGAAACACGTTAAAATTTTAATCGTTCAATCCACTCGATAAGGCAACGTGGAATTTTCTTTGTATTTGATTCGGTGTAAATTTTGCAGTTTGATTGAGTAATGACGAGTTATGGGTTATATACTATTATGGGTATATTGATTAAAGATTTCGCTTTTTGTTTTTTAATTATTGCTTTGAAATTATCGTTGCTTTTTCGAAAATGTTGAAATTCATAACTTTCGACGAATCAAGGCAACAAAACATTGTGCACTTTATTATTATATCGATATATATTGATGTATTAATATTGATTTATAATTTCTTTATACACTGATCGAAGTGAATAATAAGCTGGCAACACGTCATATTCGATAAAAGTAAAAAAAGGAAAAATTTCTTCATTGACACTTTATATAAGATATATTCCTTATTAAGATAATTAACTGTATTTGTATGGTATGTTTTCGCGAGATAATAGAAAATTTATGAAAAATACAGATATAAATACCACGTGTGCACGTACGTGAGATATTTAAAATTTTTGTTATCATCCTCTGTGTCGCTACTACGAAACGAGAGATTTCTATTTTACGACTTTTGGCACGATGGTTTTACGAGTCTTACTGAAATCATAAACAGTTTTACAAAAGTTTTATCACCTCGTTTTAAAGAAGCTTTTCATTCGTCCAACAATTATTTCCCAGCTTTTATTTTAAATAGACCATTAAAATTCAAAATGAACGATGCCATTAATTTTTTAGTTTCAGTTAACATACAATAAAATTTTCCTCTCCTTTGTTCCCTCTTTATTACGGTATTAATTAAATAATAAATTCTGAGAAAGCGTTAAATGTCTAATCAATCGAATCAATCGTATAAATACATATCTTTTAATCGAATAAAACGATCGAAAAGTCACAATATAGAAAATTAATTTAACATAGCGACGATCAACTAGTTTTTCGAGTATAACTTTCACGTTAAAATGTTAATAACAAGACACGTTATGTAGATAAATATATTAATTTAAATATTCCAAAAAAAAAAAGAAGAACACAAACAAAAAGATAAATAAATAAACGTCACGAGTACGTTGGTCACAAGTAGTTAACAGTCGCGTGGCGCTAGTGTCGCGCCATCTTAATTAATCGTCACCCCTTAGTAGTGAATCACCTACTAACCCAAAATATTACTATCGATAACCCTAGCTGGCAAGATTTCCCTCTGCAAACAGATTGAAGATAAGGATCCACAAGAAAAGGGTGACTTAGTCAGCGCAGTCTAGTCAACTCTCTCTGGTGTGTATAAAGTGGCTCGTGTCGGAGCAGTGAATAGGGGGCGAGAATGGCTGGAGAAATAAGAAAATGGATCGAATGGAATCGGCGGATGTGACGTATGCGGAGGAATATTGAAGATCGCGTAATATAAGATGGAAATATTATGGGTCGTGGGATGGGAGGGGAGGGGTGGCGGTGCTTTGTGAAAACTGAAAAAGTTGAAACACGTTCGAAAGTTTGAAATTTCTTTTGGTTAGGAATTTCGTTTGGAAACCAACACGATTTCTTAAGTTAAACTTTCTTTCTTCCTTCCTTTCTTTCTTTCTTTCTTTCTTTCTTTCTTTCTTTCTGTGAAGAACATTGGAAATTTTCGACCGACAATGCGAATTTCACCGCACTTTTCGCAACAGCTTTCTTTTCTTCTGCTGTTTTCCCCCCTTCCTTTGAAAGATGACTCCGTGAAAATCGTGGAGAGAGAGAGAGAGAAGTTTGAAATTATGTAACTCGTTGAATTAGCAGAGAAATATTTTTCGTTGAAATAAACTTGCTCTTATTCCTCTTCAAAGGATTTTGTGAAAATTTATTTTCGCTTATTTTTCAGAGGAGATATTGGATTGGCAAGGGATTAATTTCGATTTTCGAATTTTCGTCTTTAAAAATCTATTTCAGATCTCGATGTGAAAGTAAACTTTTTTTTTAATCACAATAATTCAGTGATTTCAAAATTCTTTATGCAATAGTTTCACTCGTATTCAAATTAGCTCAAAACTAAAAAAATTTGAATGTTAATTTAATAATGTATACATTTAGTTGGTCAAAAAAATATTTAGTCATATATTTGGAGTCTTATTTTATAAAAGAAACTTTTCCATTAATTTTTCCATTAACAATATGTCTCTTAAGTCACATACATTGTGACACTTTCTCAAAATTCTTTAAATAATTTTTATTTTTAAAAATGAAAATATTTTTGTTATTATAATTTTTAAAAAAATTATTCCATATCTTATATTTTATCACATAATATACGAAATTTTATCGATATCATTTTTTGACCTCCATTTTTAATTAAAATCTCCTGGCAATTCACTGGATATTCCAAGTTCTAAAATGAGGTAATATGACAATTCTGGCCACGGTCGGTGATCGATATTTTAAAACTGGAATAAGCTGTAATAATAACTTGTCATTATATATCACACACTTGCTGCAATGGCATAATTAAAAAATCATAATATTAAGAAAAACGTTCTTGATTAATTCAAATTGTTATAAATGGACTGCGGATGCATTTATGCAAAAAAGGAAAAAATATTGAAGATATAGTACGCAAAATTTATTTATTTAATATTTTCTTTTGTAAATATCCCCAATCTAATTACATTACATAGTTTCAAAGTTTGAAAGTTTGTGGTATCAAACTGTTAAATCGAGAGAGCTTTTTTACAAAGATTTTACCAGCAAAAAATATAAATAGTTTTTTCTTTTGTAGAAATAATTCAATGCGATAAAATTGCAAATTTTATTAGCTATGTTACTCTTCCAATAAACATGATAAAATGAATAGTCGATCGAAAGAATTCACCGATGACGATGCAACTAACTTGCAATCGAATTTCATCTATGTCATCTAATGTGTATGAGATGAATCAATTGTGAATTATATAACGGTTTTCTATTACCTGTACATTAAAGAGAAAATTGAGAAGTTGGATAATGCGTGTTATATAATTGGATTTATTCAAAATGATTCTCACAAAAGTATCCGGCGTATTTCATAAAAAAATACATGTGAAAGAGAAAATAATTTGATATCAATTTTTGATACATGTGCTGTTATTTCATTCCACAACGATGATTCAATTGTTAATCTATCTAAAATAGAATGCATGAAAACAAGAAATCAATTGGACAAAATCAAATGGAATTTTTCTGAAGCATAAATGTTACTCGATGAGCTTTTTTTAACTTTTTCTTTTCTATTTTTAATCCATATTTTAACATATCAATCCTGTTGTTGAAAAAATGTATATTTAACAAATATTCTATACATTCGATTAATAAAACAATTTTATCAATAGATCTGAACAATTTCAATTTCAAGCTTCCAACATATTTATATATCGAAAAATCTAATAGTTTAATTTTTTTAATAAAAATAAACGTTTCTGTTTAATTTTCTACTTTTAAGAAAATAAATTTCCTATTCATATATAATATGGAATAAAATGTTTAATAATTGTCTTCTTGATAAAAAAAATAATCAAGAAATTTGACGAATATAAAAGCCATAAAATATCCAAAATTCGACCAATAGGACAAGTAATATCCATTTCTTTAATCCTCTTTATAAAAATTTCATTATAAACAATAACGATCAAATAAAAATGTGTCAACAATTTTTCGCTCGATCCCTGTTTCAAAACTAAAATATAAAACATTCAAAAGACTTTTGAAACCGTTTATCATGGAATCGATGTGTACAAGGTGTCTGTATAAAAGGTTCGATTTCCAGCAAGAATGTATCGGCGATAATACGATTTTCTCGTCCACGTGACGTTTCTCTGGCCGTTTTAAAATCGGGTTTACCCTCGAAGAATATCGAGGAATATCGAGGATGGTGGCTCGTGTCCATTTTCCTTTCCACGCCAGCTTTCGAGGTATCGAGCAGACGTTGTTATAAGCGCTAAAGAAAACCGATCGCTACACTGGAATCGCAAGAAAAAAGGAATTTGTACAGTGGTGATGGTTTTTCAAGCAATATCCCACGATTTTTAACCAATAAAAGAATCAAAAGAAATCGAAAAATTATTTGTTTCCATTGTATGGATGCTATATCGATATATAATTGATGATTTTCTGGCCAGCAAAAGGAATCAAGAATCGTAAACGATATATCTCTCTAAAGAAATTGATATTTATACATTTGCAGTACATTTCTATCACTATTTTGAAGATTATCATACTTTTCGATTTATATAAAATCTTCAAGACTTAACTGATGATTCCTGAGACGATTTCAACCAACTTTTTCCTTCGTGAAAAGTTTCGTTTTTCCCTTCTTAACGAGTTATTAACGAAAAATGTTTTGCCGAGCCGCGAAGGTAGTGATGGGTATGCGCCGCCAACGAATCGTCGAACAAACAACATCTAATCGAATATTACCGATTTCTGCCACTGCACAATTTTACTGCATCGTAATATCTTGATAACCATATCACAAGTATAAATTCATCGTTCGAACAAATATCGAGTACAGAATTGTTTGAAAAACGCGAAAGGATGGCTGTATCGCGTCCATCGCTATCTCCACGTTCCTTTATTTTCTCCATCCGACGCAATTCCAATTCCAAGGAAACTTATCCTGCCGTGAATACCGAGAACCTCTGCTCGTAAATAGTCAGTGATCCGAATCCGTGCGCGATCTCACGGTCTGGCAAACCGATCTTTAATTCTTCCCTTCGCACGATCCTGCATTCGATTCTTCGAGTATAAATAGCGTGAAATCGGTATGGCGTGGTCCTCGTACGTACGGTCGTTCGTAAATTTTCCAGATACCTCGTCGCGACGTCGATACGATTATTCTCGTGTTTGTTTTTCGCGCGCTGTAAACCGGATACGAAGAAACAGTCTCCCGTTCGTAAGATATTTGTATCGATCGTTGCGTTTCTCGTTTTCTTCGTTGTTGGAATAAAAAGATTTTTCATCGTTAGCGAATATTTCAATTATTGATCCATTTATTTTAATTGATAATTTAGCTATTTCTTCTTCTTTCGTCACGTAATTTTTTGCGTATATTCTCTTCTTGTGATTTTTCTCACAGAATTACAATTTCCTTGTCCAATCAATTCTCTCTCTCTCTCTCTCTCTCATATGCATCTGAAAAATTCCATAAAATTTTATAAATATCGCGAAAATAATTTCGAATGCAATGTTAAGTGTTAAACAAATTCCTTTACAATTATAATAACGATATAAAAAAAAAAGAAATCTTTGTAAATTAAAAATGAATTATTCCATTCCAAAAAATATGTGAATCGAGGTGAAATCGATGCAAGTATATCTCTTCTTAAACTTCTGAATTTCTCATCGATACAGGCCGATTACTCCCCCCTCGCTTGTTGTTCACGCTTGTTTTCCGCGCGGTCGAACCAAGTCGAAAGATGTGTTCTTCGATCTCTCCCGTTGTTGGCCGACACGGGGTTTCGATTTACCGAATCTCATCCCCCACGAACATGGCAAATGGACTTTGGACGCGAGTTTATCCACCCGGTTCAACCCGGATAACGATAGGAGACCGAGTTTCGTCGAGATACGAACGGACACGGGTCTAATTACGACACGATTTTAAAAGATCTTTACTTTGCACTCGTTCCAGGATGGCTCCCTACGTGGAGGCGATTTAATTATGACGATGAGATTGAGCGCGAATTTATGGAATATTTTGTTGTTAATTGGAAAAATAATTTTGGTTAATTTTGGAACGAGTACTTGCAAATCTGTTTTTCATTTTGATATTAGAACGAATCGAGATGTTATTACTTGTGCTAATTGAATTGGTAAATATTATAGAGAAAAATATTAATTTTTAAGCGAGGTATTCTTATAAAATTTCGAAGTTCAGGCAATGTTTGATTTTACTGGAAATACTTTTCGACTTCTAAATTCTTTCTTTCCAAATACTTATGAAGAATTTGATCTATCGAATTGACTCAATTAATTCTATTCTCGTCACCAGTTGTTTTCATTTAATGCATTTAAAAATATTCAGATTATTTACTTTTGTCACGTTGTCATTATTCGTGAAAATTTTTCATCTATCAAATTTTCTTGTAGTATTTTAATCGTTTTCGAAATTTTGTTTCGCGAAAATTATATCTTCGGAATATTCGTTCGAGATTGTGTTAAACTATTAAAATATTGTTTACAACGATATTATATTTGGCATTATACGTTAATTTTAAAAGTGAAAAGCGTCAATGCGTAGGCCAAAAACAGTTTTGAAGCTGGAAAATTAATTGGAACAATAATGCCTCGCTCAAAGTCAAAATTTTGCATTTCAGAATTTTATTTTATAAAAATTTTTCACACGAACTACATTTCGTTGAATCAGAAAAGGCATTTCATTTTAATGGAAAAAAATGATATTTAAATAATTGGAAAATGCAAATGTGTCACAGATGCTGTTTAAAAAATGTTTTTAAAAAATTCGTGGATAATTGTAGAAGGTATTTTTCAAGCAAGTATAAAAAGTGCAATTTTAATAAATTTTATAGATCGAATGTTAATGTGAAAAGAGTTTGTAATTTATTTATTCAATTATTTTTCTATGAATAATTATTAATAATTATATTCTCATATTATAATAATAAGATTTAATTAGTATTCTACTTGAATCTTGTATCTCTATTTCGTTATATTTATTTTGCAATAAAAATATCGCATACAATATTTTTTTACTTTATCCTTTTTCCAATAATTCGTCAAAGAGAATGGAAAAATGAAAAAAATCAAAATTGTACGATTATTTTCTAGAATAGTGAAAAAAACTTTTCTCTCAGATTCAACGAGTAAAAGATTAATTTTCTAAAGTAAAAAACCTCAGTTTTAATTTTACAACATTAATTATAATAATATTCCCATTAATACTCCAAAACGAACGATGTCTCACTCAATTCCAAATTTCTCCATCCAAAATTATTTTCACGGTAATAAAAATTACCCTGTTGTTACATCTATCTATCAAACAAAAAAAAAAAAAAAAAAATTTAAAATCATCTTACGATAGATGTTATAACCTACCAAAATTAACACTTTCGCTTCTCTCCATTATCCACCCTCGAAACCATAAATAACCAACTAAGAAATCTCTCCAAATTCTTCCAATTATCCACCCACCAAACATTTCCACCACGAAAAATAACACCACACCAACCCTTCATCCCCTTCCTCCTCCTCAACAAGCAGATTCTTATCCCACCGCCGTTTCTTAAACTCAATTATCGCATTCCTACGGAAGCCAGGATAATTCGTCCCGCTTAACAACTCGCAAGAATTTCGTAATGCGCGTGGCTGGAACCGCAATAGCAATGAAAGCGTACGCGGCGGAGGATGCTCGGCCAAGGAAAGGAAGGGCCGTCTGCGCCCGAGAAAAGGTTTGAATGGGCGAGACAAGAAGGAGAACGTCTTGGAAAAGGGGGAGAGGGGGGGGGGGAGGGGGAGAAGTGGTTTTTGGAGAATAGTAAACGTTTCGTTAAATTAAACGCACGGTTCGTCCGTTTTCGCTGGAATCGATCACGATGGGATTATTTTTGGCTTTTGAAATCGAACAAGCGGCTCCAATTTTGAAAGGGGTAATTGGATTGAAATAATCGGAAGAAAGGAATTGAAGATATACTATGGAGTAGAGCTCGACAAATAAGGTTAAGGATAAGATGAACGTGTTTGCGTATTAAATTATTCTTTTGTTCGATTATAATAGTTGTAAATTTGAATTAATTTGTATGAAAGATAGGAAAGATTCGTTTCGATAGGATCATTTAATCGAAGAGTAATTTGGTAATATATATAATATATATCTTATTGTTAGAATAGTGAATCGAACGAATTCAATCATTTATATTTCTCTTATATTTTTTTATTTCGGTATTTGAGATGATAGATTACTTTTTGTCAAGAGTTATTACGATTCTTATTATTTTAATTCCATCGTTTCATTATTCCCTTTTCTTCAATTCACCTGCATCGGATCCTCGATTTTCCCCTTTTTCTCCTGAAAAGGAAACGACTCGTCCATGGATCAAGCACGCCTCAGGCGTTGTTTCGGTGATCACTGGATCAAATTCACGAGTATCGGCGCAAGTTTGTGTTACGTGCTTCCTGTTACGCGTCAGGAATGTCGATGGATCGTGCCCGAAGAGAGATTTGTTCTCTGTGTTACGTAATTCTGATAGCAATAAGTTACAACGCGGTGTGAACGATCTAAAAAATAACGAATAAAACTTTATTTGACAACTTTAAATTAATTTCAGAAGAATAAAAATATCATTTCTGCGAATAATTAACAAATTAAGAGTGTTTCATTGAAAACTCATATTCTGTAAAATCGGTTTTCCGCAATGTTAAAATTATCTCCAAAAAGAAAGTACTTTCACAATTTTCGGTCAAACGTGTGTAAAGTTAACATAACCTTAATAAATGACTCGTGTGTGACAACCACGCACATCCAATAACAAAAAAACGAATTACTCAACGAATCTCCACACGAACTCGAAGAGATCATCGAGATTATTTTGCTTTCAAATCAAAAATAGTTTGCGCATTACGCGATACGCGACGTGATATTTTAATTATCGCGTATTCCGAGGTTAAGAATTCCTCGGGCGTGAATTCTTTTGTCCTTAATGAATCCGTCCACCAGTGTTCGCATTGTACGAGCATTCATTGCTCTCATTAATTATTTTCGTCTCGCGTATCTCCGACCTGCCATCGCCACGGATCGTCTTAATTAATGAGTCTTTGACGCATCGACGAGAGTTTAAGGTTAGGTTGCGTATATACCTTCGATTCGCTTTCAGACTTGAAATCTTCTCTCTCGTACTCGTCGCTCTCTCCTCTCTCTCTCTCTCTCTCTCTCTCTCTTCTTCTCTTCTTCTACTA